TCGAGGTGGTGAGTATGAAGCACCAATAGGTGACTTTTGCGCAAGTGTGGGTATAGTACACGAACGTACCGCACCCTATTCACCTCAATCAAACGGTGTTGCCGAACAAAAGAATCGCACATTGAAAGATATGATGAACGCGATGCTTGTAAGTTCGGGCCTGCCACAAAATATGTGGGGGGAAGCAATCTTGACAAGCAATTACCTTTTAAATAAGGTTCCCCGGAAAAAATATGATAAAACTCCGTACGAGTTGTGGAAAGGCAGACGGCCTTCCTATCAATATTTGAAAGTGTGGGGGTGTCTTGCTAAGGTGCTTGTACCAACACCTAAGAAAATAAAAATAGGTCAAAAAAAGGCGGACTGTATTTTTATTGGATATGCACAAAATAGTAGTGCTTATCGGTTTTTAGTGTACGATTCGAATAATCCGGATGTACATAAAAACACAATAATCGAGTCAAGGAATGCATCGTTCTTTGAAGACGTATTTCCATGCAAGTCCAACGATGGACCTAGCACGTCAAAACGAACATTTGACGTAGCTATGGAAAATACTAGCGAGGGATCCGGTGAAGAACCCGAACCCCGACGTAGCAAACGTGCTAGAGTTGAAAAATCCTTCGGACCGGATTTTCTCACATACTTGGTAGAATTCGATTCGAATATTCTAACTTGTATGGTAGAAAATGAACCGGATTTTCTAACATGTTTGGTAGAAAATGAGCCACAGACTTATACGGAAGCCGTAACGTCTACCGAAGGACCTATGTGGAAAGAAGCCATCAAAAGTGAGGTGGATTCTATCCTAAAAATTCACACATGGGAATTGGTTGATCTTCCTCCGGGATGTAAACCTTTGGGATCCAAGTGGATTTTTAAACGTAAAATGAAACCTGACGGTTCCATTGATAAGTATAAGGCAAGACTTGTAATCAAGGGATACAAGCAACGTGAGGGCCATGATTACTTTGACACGTATTCTCCTGTGACGAGAATAAATTCCATTAGGATGATACTAGCAATTGCCGCTTTGCGGAATTTGGAAGTTCATCAAATGGACGTAAAAACCGCTTTTCTAAACGGCGATATAGACGAAGAAATCTATATGGAACAACCTGAGGGTTTTCGTGTTCCAGGCCAAGAAAAGAAGGTTTGTAAATTAATTAAATCATTGTACGGATTGAAACAAGCCCCTAAACAGTGGCACGAAAAGTTCGATCATGCAATGTTAATTAATGGGTTTAAAATAAACGAAAGTGACAAATGCGTCTATGTGAAAAGCACAGTAGACGGCTATGTCATTTTATGTTTATACGTGGATGATATACTCATCGTGGGTAGCAATAATCTAATGATTAATTCTACCAAAAACATGTTAAATTCTAAATTTGACATGAAGGATATGGGGCTGGCCGATTTAATCCTTGGGATTAAAATAATTAGAAGACCTGACGGTCTGACGCTAAGCCAATCCCATTACATGGATAAAATCCTTACTAAATTTAATAAGGATGATTATCAAGAGGCAAGGACGCCATTAGATAAAAACGTACATCTGACAAAAAATCGTGGAGAGTGTATTTCTCAAGTAGAATACGCTAGGATTATTGGCAGTTTAATGTATCTAATGAGTTGTACCAGGCCTGATATTGCCTTTGTGGTTAGTAAGCTTAGTAGATATACTAGCAACCCCGGTGATGAACACTGGAAGGCAATAGTAAGAGTTTTGAGGTATTTACGAAACACCCAAAACCTTGGACTGCACTACGGAAGATATCCAGCTGTACTTGAAGGGTATAGCGACGCTAGTTGGATATCTGACATTAAGGACTCAAAGTCCACAAGTGGATATGTTTTCACTTTGGGAGGTGCAGCCGTGTCGTGGAAATCCTCGAAACAAACGTTAATAGCTAGATCCACGATGGAATCTGAGCTAATAGCCTTGGATAAGTGCACTGAAGAGGCTGAATGGCTACGCCATTTTCTCGAGGATATTCCAAGTTGGGAGAAGCCTGTCCCTCCAATATGCATACATTGCGATTGTCAAGCGGCAATTGGAAGGGCACAAAGCAATCTCTATAATGGTAAGTCTAGACACGTTCGTCGTAGACATAACACCATTAAACAACTTCTCACAACGGGTGTTATCACTGTTGACTACGTGAAGTCAAAGGATAACATAGCGGATCCGCTAACCAAGGCATTGGATAGAGAATTGTTGGAGAAGTTGACACGAGGAATAGGATTAAAGCCCGTAAATTGAAAAGTTCTATAGTGGATACCCAACCTAGTTGGTCCTAGGTTCAAATGGGACAACTAAATTATAGAGCGAAGGATGGTCACTGTGGGGGTCTCGGACTCCTACCCACTCCTCGTTAAAACAGTGACTCCCGCACGAGGTTAGCAAAAACGTTTGCTTTAATGATTCTAAAATGTTGATCTACTCGATAACATTGGAAGAGTATGCGGGATACTCGTGAAAGAATCACCTATGTGAGAGAGAAGAGGGCCGCTTCAAAGGAGAACTGTAATGGCTCAGTTCTTTAGAAACTCTTGCAGAACCAGGACGGTGACCCATGGCCAAAACGGGCACACCCATGAGAACGGAACAAAGTTGGAAGGTTCTTGTGTAAAGATACGTCAATGTTTACACGACGGCTGTATAGTTCAAAGACATCGAGTCTACTAGATAGCCAGTAAATAAACGAGTCTTTACAGCGGAAGGTTCAAAGGATTAAACCTACCTCTCCGTATACAAGGATCATCCGGTGAACACAACGTGTCCTCCTATCTTCGTGTCTTTTTTAAGTCTCGAAAATCAATTTTCATTCATGTGGGGGATTGTTGGAAAAATGTGTGAAAATTGCATTAAATGGCTATTTTGGGGCAATTTTTTGAGTGGGGTCCACTTCCGATTTGGGTCGGGTCAAAGTGGTTTCGGATTGTCCTTGTTAAGGGCTACAATTCGATATATGGCACGCTCAAAACGGATAACGGGTGAATGAGAAATCGCTTTTCGAAGTTTACCCGTTAGAAGGGAAAAACTGGGAAAAAGGATGAGTTTCTAGTGTTAATCTCCCACACCGGAAAACCCAAGGGATTTGCAACCCTTTATAAAGGGACTCCCCCCTTATGGAGTTAAGATTCCTAAGGGTAAAGGCTCTCTCCACGCGCGCAGGGGCGGGTGCAAATCAAATCCCGAAATCGAAGAAGAAAAACCGCGACTTGCGTGCGCGGGCGACCTGCGGACACGAATGTCGTCCAAAAATCTATCTCTCAAGAGATACGATTAATTTTTTGTTTTCTTCCCGAAACGTTTAATTTTTTCCCAGCAGCAGAAGTGCTCGGACAGAAGCCTACGGATCAGAACACCTTGTTGGTCTTCTGATGGCCGCCCATCAGAGATGGGGTATTCTGATGGCCGCCCATCAGAGTTGGGGGTACTCTGATGGCCGCGGATCAGAGTTGGGGTCTTCTGATTGGCCTCCGATCAGAACCCCTCCCGGTGTGTTCTGATGGAGGTCTTCTGTCGCGCTTCTGAAACGTTACAACAATTAATGCCCAACGTTTATATCTTTTAATGCAGCGTTAAATGGACTGTTCATGGACGATTCAATGCCCAACGGACTGGTCATTGATGTCCAACGTTCAGGTCCATTAATTCACTATTTTCACACAACAAATCCTCCTATATGATGGCTGGCAGGTGGTTTGCAACAACACACGTTCTTACACGAATTCATACACGTTTTGCACCTCTAAAAACACACTGCTAGCAATCTGCAAATTCCTTCTGTGTTCAGTCTTTGTTCTCGTTCGCTGGAACTTTTGTTTGATTGCTCAAACACTAGTTCGTTGTCATCGTATCCTGGGAAACTATTGTTGCAACGCTCCTAGCACCGTGGGAGGCAACAAATACGTTTTAAGGACATCGTGCGTAGCACGAGCTTTGATAAATTCTGCTCCATCTCTTTTCTTGTTTTCTTTCGTCATTTTATTTAATTAATTTATTTTAATTAATTTTCTTTATTTTCCGAAACACACCCAACAATGGCCACCTATTTTCACATTTATTACCTTTTAGTTATGCTTGTCATGTCTTTTATGATCTCTCCTTACTCTTTAGGAGTCCTTGTATTTTTATGTGTTCTAGCTTCGTCACCTCGCCAAATACAAGTGTTCATTGATCCCTTCTATATGGAGAAAGTTCATTTGGATTGAAATGTACTCGTGTGATTTGGTTTGAGCTAGCTTTGTTTGAACTAATATAAGTTTGATATCTTTTGGTTCCTATGCTTATGGTTATGTGTGGTCTAGTTTGGTATAATATTGTGTGTGCTTTATCATTACCTAATTAAGGTCTTGTCCATTCTGATATAGTTTGGAACGGCCTGTTTAAATTTATCCTCTTTTGATAAGGCATGTTTACATTTAAGCTGGTATCATCAAATCTTGTCTAGTATGTTAGGAGAATGAAATAAGTGCAAATAAATGTACTCTAAACTCTTGATTGTCATCTTTTAAGGGTAAAATACAAATTTGCAAGAAAAAGAATCAAATAGGGCCTTTAACTATCACATATACGATAGTACATCACATTAACTCATCCACTAATAAAAGTATCCCTTAACACGTTTATTTACACTACGTTAAAAACGGATTTGACTTTTCCTCTCTTCTTTCTTTTTTCTTTTTCTTTTTCTTCTTTCTTTATCTTCAGGTTTCTCAACCCATTCTCATAAATTCCTATGAATTTGTTCTTTCATCTTCTCCACCCTTCCTTCAAAATCGACGGGAAGGACGTGTTGACCATCTACTAATCCCGATTTGGATTAGTAGGCGGCACTAGGCGGCGACCAGCGATGACAATCCCGTGATGTAGTCAGTCATGTGCTCGTGGCCTTCTCCAAGACTGGCTAGAGCTAATACAATTAGGTCAGAATGGACTGACTTAGGTCCCATGCACATTTTCAATTCGTTTTAACCAATCTTTTTTGCTCAATCCTAAAGTTTATTTGATGCATTCTCAAATTTGAAGAATTAAACCGTTATAAGATCATTTTATTTTAACCCCAAAAGAAGAATGGACGATAACAAAAGCAGCATATGGCACATATGCCTTAAATTATGATGACACAAAAATAAATTACAAAGCCATCTTCTCTTTTGGTCACAACACATGCCTTAAACTATGATGACCAAGTTTGATTTTTTTAGAATTAATCAAGGATTTCGACTTCTCGAAGCTCTCATTCGTCTTCTTCCTGTTCCTTGCATCATCTCTGTGATTCTCACATGAAACCCGCTTCCCAATTCCTCCCCTGCAAACTCCCCCATTCTTCGTACAAGGCGACTTCCGCCGTGTAGAAAGCTTAAACCTTACTCTGGTTCTATTTGTGGCCAATAATCCGTTTCCTTTTTCCCTCTGTTTTCCGGCGTTGTTGTTTTCCGGCTGCCTCTCCGATTCCGATTCAATTCTCGGACCGAATCCCAATTTCTCATCCCCCTTCCCATCCTTCTCGATTTCCGGCATTGATGGTAACCACCTCGGAACATGTTTAAACCTACCTTCGTTATACTCGCGGGAGTCGCGGAGGAGGAGGTTGCCGCGTTTGGGCTGTTTCGTTTTTCTTCCGGACATTGCCTTCCTCGGCGGCAGCGGCTGCGCGAACGGCGTCTCCTCCGTGTACTCCACGAACTTTTCGAGCTCTCTGATCATGGGAGAATTCAAAACCGAATTTCTCGCTGTGCTCGACGCGCCGGCGAATCCCTGCACTGAGCCTAACTCCTCCAGCGCCGCCGTGACATCGAGGAGGTTCGATTCCGTACGGCCGCGGGAGTTGGCGGATGATGCGGCGGATTTGGCGATTGCTTTGAGGTAAAGTCCGGCGATGTCCGTTAGAACTGCCAGCGCTGAGGCTTCCGCCGCCGCGTAGCCCGCTGATTCGCATATCTGTGCCACCGCTATTTTGGAGATCGACGAGGCATAATTCGATTCCGATTGAGGTTGCGCCGCCGTTGATGAGCTCTTATCCCTTGATATCATGAGGAAGGAGATTACAGAATTCCGAACGTCAAAGATGAGAAATACGGAGAAAGATTACTAGAACCCTAGCCTGCGGTAAATAACTTAGAGTAATTAACTTTTGTTGGTTAAAAGTTACTGCAGTACTTTTCCTTGCAATGGGCTTTCCTAGAGCGGTGTCGAACTCGAATCAAATTAATCAATAGCTAAAAGCTATGTAGCACCGATACCGGTACGCGGAAACGCGGAAACGCGGAAACGGGTACGGGGATACGTCAAAACCAAAAAAAGTAGGATACGGATACGGGGCCATATTTATAAATATTAAAAGTTATGGGAGTGTATTTACAAATATTAAAAGTTATAGGGGTCTATTTATAAATATTAAAAATAGATTTTTTTTATTATATATATATATATACACACACACACATATAATATCCTATGATGTCTACCCATTCATTGCATTGAAGCATTTTCCTTTTTCAAGATACTTAGTAATAAATTCATAATATTTCTCATATACACTAGGGCATCTCGAAATATAAATGTAGTCAATAAGTCATTAATTTAAAATGAGAAATAAGTCAAACAACTACAATCTTGAAATTAAAAGTGCAAGTGCCCAATTCGGAGTATGAGTTAATGACTTAATTCGGATATAGCCATATAGGCCCATTATTTGATTACCAAGTAAAATGTAGTTTTATATTTTCATTTTTTAAAGAATTTTATTAAGTAAATTTTGGGATTTTTTTTAAAGTTGATACGGGTATCCGTCAGGATACGAGTATCGGAAACTTTCCAAAAATTACAAAAAAAAATGGAAACTTTTAAAAAATTGCAGATACGGCCCGGGAACGTACGGCCCGGGTATCCTAGAGTATCGGATACGGGAACGTATCGGATACGCCGATACGCTACCCTAGGGAAGTATCCGTGCTTCATAGGCTAAAAGCATACGTTTACTTCCATTGGTCCACTATCGTTTTCCTTTAATAGAGTACAAAAAGCACTTTATATTTCAATCATGTTCATACGAAAATTAGATCTTCATAATTTCTCCTCTAGTCCTGTGTTGTAAGACCCGAACCGGACTGGCCGGTCCGACCCGAAACCCGGTCAACCGGCCCTGTGTCCGATCCGGTTGAACATCGAACCGCGAATGTGCCCAGAAACAGATTTAACCGGCAACCCGCTGAGACCCGGTACGGAGCCGGTCCAGCCCAAACTCGGGAAACGCCCCAAAAATCAGTGAAACCCGTTGGCAAGGGGACTCGAACTCACGCCAATGCTACCGCATGTGAGGTTTCCTAACTACTGAGCTACCATGTCTTTGTTTGCAACCACTTGTGCTTAAATAAAAAACACTTTTTGGGAAAAAGTGATTAATAGTAAAAGTTGGTAGTGTTTGGTAAAATAAGTGCTTTTTGTGTAATAGAAAAAGTAAAAAGTAGATTCTACACGAAAACCGAGAAAGTAAAAGTTGGTAGTGTTTGGTAAAATAAGTGTTTTTTTCTTTAAAAAAAAGCCAAAATCACTTTTCTTAAGTGATTGCAAACAAGCCCAATGCGTTGTTGAAGATATCATTTACTTAGCTTTTCGTATACCTTCTGCATCCGTAACATTTTAAATGCTTTTATTAATTATTTTGTTAATTAATTAATTTATAATAAAAGTTACAGAGTATTAACAAACCAATTTTATTTATATGCCTCCTCAATCCTTATTACGCTAGTCATCCTTATTTTTTATTTTTTTATTTTGTAATTGGAATTATGTTCATATTTATCATTAATCTATACACAAATGCATTTTAAAATTTGTTAAAATCAATATACTTAATACAATAGTTGACATAACTTATATTGTATTATCACTATTAAATTATGAAGGGCTATATTTAAACTTACATTTATGAATTTATTTTTATACGGAGTATATAATTATATGTATTCAGGTTGACCGGGTTTACCGGTCGTTGACTGGGTTAGCCCTCCGGGTCCGGGTTGACCCGTGACCCAATCATTTGTCCGGGTCACTCACCGGTCCGGTTCTTACAACATAGCTCTAATCTGGCAGCATGCACATTTTTCTAATTAATTCCTTCCTTTCACGATTGTACATCCATGTCTTGACAATATTTTTATGAATAATTATGATTAAATAATTCACATTGCAATGGAAAAAAATAAAAAAATGACATTCCTTTTTGGGATTTATGTTTTTGAAAAGTAACTAAAAGATGTAAAAAAAATTATAATAATGAGATACGGAGTATTAATTTTAGCATTTGGTGGATCATCTTAAGAAAAGTGCAAGCCCACAAAATCTCAGCAATCCCTGCTCTACAGATTTTTTTAAAACTACATATATGCAATATTAATTTTAGTATATGTGTGAGTGCGTGACCACTACTTTTTTTTCAGCGGTCTCCTTTTCTTTTACATTCGGGTGAATTGAGATTTCAAGGTAACTTCGCCATCCAAAAGGTGCCATTACTGCCATGTACCGACTATCCCCTCTTCCAATATCATTATTGTACTGCTTCCTTTCTTAAATAGTTTCAACATTAAAATACACTATTCGTGTGCTCTATTTTGTCTTTTTATTTATGAATACATTACATTTTTTTTAAATATACTCCCTGTTGAGGTTTTGTCCCGTAGATCCGGAAGCCCAACATAAACTTCGGATATTAAGGACGATGGATTCGATATAAAAGTGAATAATAAATATAAAAGGTGTATGAACTAGCTATTTTTACGTGGAAACCCGGAAAGGGAGAAAACCACGGGACTTTTTAGGCTAACGTCCAAGCCCGCTCTTTCTCATTAATATCCTCCCATCACTCAATACATATTTTGCATAGTACAAGATATTAAAACCTCCATTAATGAAGTATGAAGCTTGCTAACTAATCTAAAGAAGAAGCAAGGAGGAAGAAGAAGGAGAACCAGCGAGAGGATCCTTCAATTAGGAAACGTAGTTTCCTATTTATAGATGGGGGAGGGGGTGTCAGGGTTACTCTTAATGGGCCAATAGGCCTAAATGGGCCGGTTGGGCCTAATTGGGCCTAGCCGATTGGGCCCCGTACCGGGGCGGTGTATTGGGCCTCTGAACAGTAGTAGGCCGGGGTAATATACCCAACACAAGTCCCCCAGTTTCTTGAGTAGTGAGCCTGTGAATCTGCTCGAGAAAGTATACTCTTGCTCACGTCCTTCCCTGAATCAGTGCTTGAATAGTCTTGGACGCAAGGCATGCATAAATGATGAACGAGGTGCAGTCCCTCGCTAGGCACGGCGGCGCTGAAAAGCCAGCCGCTCGTGCTGTATAAAGCGGCGGTCGCCATCCCAGATCAAGGATGGACGAGCCCGATCGAGAGCCAGGCACGACGGTGTTGTGGAGACCGTGCGTGCTGCATAAGAGCGACGGTTGCCATCCCAGAGCAAGGATGGACGAGCCCGCCAGAAAGCCAGGCACGACGGTGCTGTGGAGCCCATTCGTGCTGCATAAGAGCGACGGTTGCCATCCCAGAGCAAGGATGGACGAGCCCGCCAGAAAGCCAGGCACGACGGTGCTGTGGAACCCGTTCGTGCTGCATAAGAGCGACGGTCGCCATCCCAGAGTAAGGATAGACGAGCCCGTCAGAAAACCATGCACGACGGTGTTGTGGAGCCCATACGTGCTGCATAAGAGTGACGGTTGCCATCCTAGAGCAAGGATGGACGAGCCCGCCATAAAGCCAGGCACGACGGTGCTGTGGAGCCCGTACGTGCTGCATAAGAGTGACGGTTGCCATCCTAGAGCAAGGATGGACCAACCTGACTCGGACAGACATGGACGTGACTCGACTCAGACAGACCTGGACTTGACTCAGACGGACATGGACTTGACTCGACTCAGACAGACCTGGACTTGACTCGAGACCACTGCGGGCCATCATGAATTCACATCACCTCCCAGCCAATTTATATCCCCCGTTCGCTCACCTTCGCCGAACGGGTCGTTCTCCCCTGGTTGTTCCAAAAAATAGTTCCATTCGCCCGTTCGTCCCACTAGAACGGTCTGATGTACAATGATGATCACGTCGTGCCGAGGTGGCTGATCGTAGAGCTACAGAAGCGGTCAGATCATCTGGATAATAGGTCATTTCTGCTATAAGTTAGCACCAGGGTTAAGGTGCAAGCTGTTCGGCTTATTTCCGATATTTGTTCGTAGTTTCCTGATCCGCAAGGCATCACCTCTTGCTGCCTGCTGCCTTGTAGGCCCAAGGCTGATGTAACTTGTTCGTGTTATCATCCGTGTTCTTCCTGATCCGCAAGGCAATCACCTCTTGCTGCCTTGTAGGCCCAAGGCTGATGTAACTTGTTCGTGTTATCATCCGTGTTCTTCCTGATCCGCAAGGCAATCACCTCTTGCTGCAAGACAGTTTCACAATTTGTGTAGTGTCTGCCATCTTCCAAGCCCATAATTCCGATGCATACCGTCGGTTTTACCGTCCGGGGTCATCCATATCATGAGGTTGAGATGTCCATCCTGGACCATTGAAAATAAGGCTCCCAATTCGGGTCTCCCCCTTATTCTCTGCCAAAATGGAGACTCGCCTCTTGGTTACAGCTCGGGTTCCACCACAATAAGGTTCGGGCGAGCTGTATGGCCAAGGCAAGATTTTAAGACCAGAGTCCCGATCCCCCGCTCGGTCACCCTATGACTTCGGATGCCGCCCGGTTCGTCCTACTCAAGATCTTTTACACCATCTCCCAAGCTGAGTCCGGGCTTGGTTAACCTGCATCTTTTTTTTTTTTTTTTTTTTTTTTTTTTTTGTGCTGAGATGGTGGCTCCCCATGGATCGAGACAAGTGGTATCTATCGATCGAGGTGAGACTTTATGGAATGTGAAGATGCCTCCTAAGCAAATAATGTCGTGCTGTGGGGCTGATCATGATATGAGGAACATGAATAATCCAAGGGTCTTGCGAGTGCCCTCTGCTCAAGGACAATGGCAGCAACTGCGGCAGCGGTCCACAAAATGTAGCCATGCTGAAAGTCAAGCAACGGTCCTCATCCGCGCAGTGCGGGGACGAGGCCGGTCTTCAAATATGATAATGGCACCGTACCAGAGGGTCGGTGGCCATGTAATGAGGTCGCCACTGGGGGCTGATCGGAACAGAACTAGCAACGGTCCTTATCTGCACGATGCGGGGACAATGCCGGTCTTCAAATATGATAAGGGCACCGTACCAAAGGGTCGGTGGCCATGTAATGATGTCGGCGCTGGGGGCCGATCAGAAACAAATAATCAACGGTCCTCATCCGTGAGGAGCAGAAATGAGGCCGGTCTTCCAAATGATCACCATGCCGAGCCAGAAGAGTCGGTTGTGGTGAGAGGAAAGTCGGCGCTGGGAGGCCGATCTGTAAATCCGAGGGTCTTACAGGCGCCCTCAGCCCATAATGTTGCTCTAGGTGCCGAACGGCGAAGGCCGGATTGCCAGTCAGGTAGCGTAATCTGAAAGCTCGTGTATCGTATAGTCCATAGAACTTCCCTTCATGTGTTGTGACATCTATACATTTGTAGTCTCTTCTTTTCTCAATTGTCCATGATTCCTTCTACACACTAGTAACCTCACTCTCTCTCTCACTCCTTTTTTTTTTCCTTTCTTTTTTTTTTTCATTCCTTTTTTTTTCTTTCCTCTCTTTTTTTTTTTCCTCTTTTTTTTTTCTTGCGTTTCCCGATCTTCCTGTTCGGTCTGACCGAACGGCTCTAAATGTAAATGTTCCTTCTTTTTGTTGCCAATCATGAGCGTCTCTGCGCGTCATATCGAACGTCATGAACATCTTTGTGCGTCATGAACGTCTTTGAATAAATGTGATTCTTTTCTTGTTGTCAGGCATGAACGTCTACGCGCTTCATGCTGAATCGTCATGAACATCTACGTGAATCATGACCTCCCGTTCGAGAATATCTCAAGAATCTCACTGCACAGTAAGCATGGTAATACGGCCGTACGACCGAAGAACATATACAAGTATATACAATTACACACATGTTTAACATTTCCCTTTTATTCTTTATTTTTCATCCATGACTATCGGCCGAAGCGGTAATGATAACCCTTGGCCTAGATTCATTTCTTGATCTGTTAGAGTCCACGACTCGAACCACCTAGTGTTTTGTCGGGTATTCAAGTACGTATTTTGCCCCGTACTGGGTACAGTTGCTGTTCGGGCACTCAATGCCGAACGAGACCATGAGTAGTCTCCAAGTCAAAATACGTCATCGGGCAATGCCCTTGCGAGACGCTTTAGCTACTTTAGGCCGATCGGGGGTGGACCGATATGCCCAGTAAAACCAATCATTTAATTAAAATGATGGTGAGCTTTTATTAGAGCCGAACTCATTGCTAGAGCACGACCTTATTCCGTTCGGGGTGTTTTTCACCCCTAACACCGGTTATTTAACTAAAAATGATGGCGAGCTCATTACTAGAGCTTCACTCGGCCCTATTCTGTCTGGGAACTTTAATCCCTAATTCCTGTCATTAAAAGTTAAAATGACGGTGAATATCTATCATTGGAGATTTCCTCGATAATATTTAACTCGGGATATTCTAATCCCTACTAACAAATCATGGCGATGTGTAACTAATAGTAATATTACTACATCACTACATTTAATATTTTCATGGATGAAGTATTTCACGCTTGACGTAACACCCCATGCCCAGCGATTATAACTTCTACGGAGTTCAATATTCCATGCCCACGCTCGATGTGTAACACCCCACCGAATCGGCTTGACGTATTTCACGCTTGTTTCTAAGTCCATTTCCAATTCAAGGGTGAAAAAAATAGATACACTCTATTCACTAAAATATCTCATACTTCCTCCATTTTTTGCAATGCTTCCATTTTCATGTTTACTAACACGAAACGTTGTCTATCAATAAATTTAATTCCTTAATTGTAAAATTTCAAAAAATTATATTTTGAAAATTTAAACTGAGAAGAATTTAATTACTCCATCCGTCCTGTTGGAAGGTTCCTGTAGACAAATGACACGAACTTTTTAGGCTAGTGATCAAATAAAATAGTTTGGGTAAACAAAGGGGAAAGAGAAAATTTAGAAAAAGTAAACATAAAAAGTGAAAGTAATTAATGACATATGAGCTGTATGATTTGACATGTAATGAGTAGGAAAGTGAGAATCCTTAAACGGGATAGAGAGAGTGTTGGGTATATTACCCCGGCCTACTACTGTTCAGAGGCCCAATACACCGCCCCGGTACGGGGCCCAATCGGCTAGGCCCAATTAGGCCCAACCGGCCCATTTAGGCCTATTGGCCCATTAAGAGTAACCCTGACACCCCCCTCCCCCATCTATAAATAGGAAACTACGTTTCCTAATTGAAGGATCCTCTCGCTGGTTCTCCTTCTTCTTCCTCCTTGCTTCTTCTTTAGATTAGTTAGCAAGCTTCATACTTCATTAATGGAGGTTTTAATATCTTGTACTATGCAAAATATGTATTGAGTGATGGGAGGATATTAATGAGAAAGAGCGGGCTTGGACGTTAGCCTAAAAAGTCCCGTGGTTTTCTCCCTTTCCGGGTTTCCACGTAAAAATAGCTAGTTCATACACCTTTTATATTTATTATTCACTTTTATATCGAATCCATCGTCCTTAATATCCGAAGTTTATGTTGGGCTTCCGGATCTACGGGACAAAACCTCAACAGAACCAGATGCAAAACTGGTTCTGTATCCGAAGATGATGCTGTAGCAGCTGCAAGAAAGGAGAACTGCTTGAAGTGCCCGATCCTTACTCCCAGAATGTCCTATGAGAATAGCGAACCAGCCATGGAAGCTTGTGGGTAAAGGAAGAAAAAGTGAAGGGGGACCCGCGTGCCCACCAGCTAGTTTGCAAAGAGTAGCCTCCTACACCCACGTGGGAAGATAGCCTGACAAAATAATTGGATGTGACAGAGTCATCCTTATCCAAAACATCCCGAACGCCGAACGGGAACTCCCCGAACACTGGAGCAAATGGAAGCACCCGACAGGAATCCCAAGCCACCCGTTCACCATCAGGAGTACCTGTAGGGGATATGGCAGGAGCCCGAACGGAAAATGCACCATTACAATATGGCAGGAGCCTGAACGGGGGTTCGATTTTTCTTTTCTTCGGAGCATGTTCTAAGGGTAGCACAAACCAACTGAGGAGCAAACTTAACAGCTGGTTCCAAGCCCGAACAACCCCCGTTCAGCATATCCTCGACTAACCAAGATGAGGTCCAACTCGAACGAGAAATTCAAACCACATCCAACTAGGAGGGGTGGTGAAGCCCCTATCCCATTTCACGATCGGGCAAACCTCATCGGGAAAGAGAGCAGGTTCCCAAACGGGATACCATACCACTGACCGAGAAGCCACCACGATGTGCAGACGGTTCAGTGTGCCGAACCAGCCCAAGCCACCCAGGGTTCTGATGTGATGCCGTTCGGCCTCGGAACCAGTTCGGGCAATTCCCAAGCGACAAAGGTGCAGGTCTGTGATGCCGTTCAGCCTCGGAACGGTGAAGTTTCAGCTAGAGCTCTGTTCAGTCCGAGCAATTCCCGGACGGGGTCGCAGCAGTTTAGTGATGGAGCATGGAATATTGAAGTATTTTCATGTGCTGGGCATGGAATATTGAACTCCGTAGAAGTTATAATCGTCCAGAAAAATCCTTTTGGAGTAAATACGACCCAGCCCACTACCACGTTGGAGTTGATATTCCCGACTGCTCAAGGGTCACAGAACCCGTTCGAGAACATTCATTTGGAGTGAAATATAACCCAGCCCGTTGCCTCAGTCATAATAAAAGCGCCGATTGGCCTAGCTTTCCAGAAGCCGTTCGGGCTTCTCCCGTTCTTCTCGGCTCAGCGAACGATTGGTGTTTATCGGCTTGACAGAGCACCGAATCGTCACACACAAGACCCATGAGTTATTTTCAATGTAAAATACGTCATCGAGGACACTTCAGCCAATTAATTTGGCCCGATCAGGGGCGGACTGATACGCCCAATCAAACCAACCATTTAATTAAAATGTTGGTGATACTATTCATAAAGCCCCGTTCGGCATTATCCTATCTCGGGAATTTTAATCCCCAAGTAAATAATTGTTATTCAAATAATAGCAATTAATATGTGTCGTCGAAGTAATGCCCCTCGAGGCACTCGGATCGCTCCATTACAGCCGATCGTGGGTTGGCCGGTCGGCCCATTAACCAAATCATTTAATCTAAATGATGGTGCAGTCATCACCCGAGCTTTGCCCGACATTACATTAATCTGGGAAAATTTAAATCCCTAATAGTAATAGTGGTGCATAGCAGCATAGGTATTATCAATAACTCTACCCCATGTTTAATTGCAAGAAATGAAAGAAGGTGGTTGGGTACTTAGCTTTGTGGATGTGCTGGGCATGGAATATTGAACTCCGTAGAAGTTATAATCGTCCAGAAAAATCCTTTTGGAGTAAATACGACCCAGCCCACTACCACGTTGGAGTTGATATTCCCGACTGCTCAAGGGTCACAGAACCCGTTCGAGAACATTCATTTGGAGTGAAATATAACCCAGCCCGTTGCCTCAGTCATAATAAAAGCGCCGATTGGCCTAGCTTTCCAGAAGCCGTTCGGGCTTCTCCCGTTCTTCTCGGCTCAGCGAACGATTGGTGTTTATCGGCTTGACAGAGCACCGAATCGTCACACACAAGACCCACTCAGCTCCATCACTAAACTGCTGCGACCCCGTCCGGGAATTGCTCGGACTGAACAGAGCTCTAGCTGAAACTTCACCGTTCCGAGGCCGAACGGCATCACAGACCTGCACCTTTGTCGCTTGGGAATTGCCCGAACTGGTTCCGAGGCCGAACGGCATCACATCAGAACCCTAGGCGGCTTGGGCTGGTTCGGCACACTGAACCGTCTGCACATCGTGGTGGCTTCTCGGTCAGTGGTATGGTATCCCGTTCGGGAACCTGCTCTCTTTCCCGATGAGGTTTGCCCGATCGTGAAATGGGATAGGGGCTTCACCACCCCTCCTAGTTGGATGTGGTTTGAATTTCTCGTTCGAGTTGGACCTCATCTTGGTTAGTCGAGGATATGCTGAACGGGGGTTGTTCGGGCTTGGAACCAGCTGTTAAGTTTGCTCCTCAGTTGGTTTGTGCTACCCTTAGAACATGCTCCGAAGAAAAGAAAAATCGAACCCCCGTTCAGGCTCCTGCCATATTGTAATGGTGCATTTTCCGTTCGGGCTCCTGCCATATCCCCTACAGGTACTCCTGATGGTGAACGGGTGGCTTGGGATTCCTGTCGGGTGCTTCCATTTGCTCCAGTGTTCGGGGAGTTCCCGTTCGGCGTTCGGGATGTTTTGGATAAGGATGACTCTGTCACATCCAATTATTTTGTCAGGCTATCTTCCCACGTGGGTGTAGGAGGCTACTCTTTGCAAACTAGCTGGTGGGCACGCGGGTCCCCCTTCACTTTTTCTTCCTTTACCCACAAGCTTCCATGGCTGGTTCGCTATTCTCATAGGACATTCTGGGAGTAAGGATCGGGCACTTCAAGCAGTTCTCCTTTCTTGCAGCTGCTACAGCATCATCTTCGGATACAGAACCAGT